TATTCTTCAAGTTCACCGATCCCTTTTACAATCCATACACACAGAAATCATTAAGGATTGTCATTAGGTTTGATTCTATTTGTATTAGGTCCCTATATTAAAAATAATAAACAGCATGAATTAAATTTAAAATTGAATTAATTTTTTTTTTAATGGCTCGTAATTATAATTAATGTTATTTTATATAAATTTATATTTTTATTTAAATCTTTCTTTTGAGTTTAGTTGGGTCTGGTCGGGTTGTTCACCACACCACACCTACACACAACTGCTTCTGAGCAAAAATGGATGAAACTGCGGGTCCCAGTGATTATCATCTTTTTTTTTTTAAATGTTTAATTGGATTATATAATATTAATTATTGTATAAAAAAGGGCTCTTAATAAAAGAAATTTAATTTAATTTAATATTTTTATTTTATAATTTAATATAATTTAGAGCGTAAAACATGACTTTTTTGTTTTTAATGAAAGATCAACATTAATAAGAGCCTCAGTTAACCAACGAGTTAATGATTTGGGGTGAACACCCCATGTCTAAAACTTTGTAGTGTTATGATTCTAAGTAGTTAATAATCAATGCACTAAAATGAAAAGGGTGAAAGCCCCGTGTTTTACTTTAATTTTAGTAACTAATTAATTAAATTTTTAAAAAAAATCTTGTTTTACCATATGAATGATAATGGATTATAAAATAAGTATTATTGTAAGAGAAAGAGTCCTTAGAGTCTCTTTGCTATAAATGGTTTTGGATAGTGGTTAGCAATTTTAATTAAATCGCTAAATATAAGTATTTGGTAAATTTATATATTTTGAAACCGTTACAAATAAAATATTTGGTAAAATTTTTATTTAGCGGTTTAAGACTAGCGGATAACAATTAGGATCCAAACCAGTAGCGAATTGAGACCCCGTTTGGTATAGCGGTTTTGAGGTAGCGATTAGCGATTTTACTTAAACTGCTAAATATAAGTGTTTGGTAAATTTATATATTTCGAAACCGTTACAATTAAAGTGTTTGGTAAAATTTTTATTTAGCGGTTTGAAACTAGCGAATAACGGTTATGGTCCAAATTGCTAGCGAATTGAAAAATCTAGTTTATGTAACTTTTTGTACTAAACCGCTAGTGGATTAGAATTTTTTAATTTTATTGATAGATTTATCCATTTTAATTTTTTAATTTGTGGTCACATTTTTTAATTAATAATTATCTAAT